TCTCTCTCTCTCTCTCTCTCTCTCTCTCTCTCTCTCTCTCTCTCTCTCTCTCTCTCTCTCCTCTCGCGTGGGATCGCGCGCGCCCGCGGCCTGCGCGCCGCGCGTCCCATGGGGCGGGCCCGCGATCCCAGACGGCCGCGGGGCGGGGAGGTGAGGGTGAGGCGCAGGGGGCAGGAAGTCCGAAATATGCATTACAACCGCGCAGGGCGTAATCAAAATCAACGCGCGCAGCAGCCCGCTTCCACAGCCGCGCCGATTGTTGTTGATAAGGCGGTTAATAATAATAATACTAAGAAGAAAAGGCAACCCAAATGCTTGAAATGCATTCGCAGCTTGATTCGACGCGTCGAAAGCTCGGTCGTCATTGTCGCGAGGCAGCAGTTCACCGAGAAGCTACGCGCGCTCCTGGGTGTCCAAGTGCGTCTGGGAGACCGTCTACTATCTCCCAACATAATACCGCGCCGACGCCGAAGTTGGCGGCCTCGGCCCGGCCTCGGCGTGGGGGGAGTGGGTGGGGGGTCCTGCGTGGGTGGCCAGATCTCTGGACGGGCGCGAGTGCAACGCGCTGCCAGTTATCGCGTGCAGCTCGATGTCCGAATGCAGAATTGCGTGAAAGTGGCTGACGGCTTCCCGCGGAAAGGCCGCGACGTTCGTGACTTTTAATGCCGAAGCTATCGCTGAAGCGGAACATGCTGAAGTGCTAGTCCACGCCGACACGGCTACGCGACCTATGCCTTGTCAGTTGGTTCGCGTCGGGTCGAACCCTCCAAAGCGAGTGGGCCTTCCTACAGGAGTGCGAAGATGCGGACTACGCGGTCCCTCAATTCAGCTTGTTCCAAAACAGATACCGCATGCAATTCCAGCAGTGGCATTATCGCATCGCTGGCCAAGGCCCCGCCTCGAGGAGCTCATCCACGGCCAGACGGAGCGAAGTCAAAGAGTGTTTTGGGGGAGGCCCCACGAAGGTGTTCCGCGGGTGCCCATGCCGCGGCCTGAGACAGCGACGAGCCGATGGACCCATCGGCGCCGACTCAATCATATTAACCAGGAGGGGAAGCTGCGACTGCAGGGGCCGCCGGTGCGGGCGGGCAAGCTCCTGCACCAGCGCCAGTAGCAGCTCCTCCAGGACAGCGGCGGCCCGCTCCTCCAGGTTCTGGTTCACGACCAAAGCAGGCACGAGCATATCTACCCCCTGAAACTGATAAGGGTGGGGGAGGCGACTGCTTTCGCGCGTGCGTGAGCTGTGCACTCCGCGCGCTGCCGCCCAACCCCGAGCCCCTCACGGAGGTCGACAAAAAAGCTGGTGGCACAGTTCAATCACTTGCGAGAACGATGTCATCGGCTGGAGTGGCGGAGCCACAGAAGAAGTCTGGAGCTACTCAGGCTGATGCGGAGCGTATCGCGACCTCGGATAAGATGGTAGGTTCACTGACGGTGAGAGCAATCGAGGATGATCTGCGAAGACCCAGCGGCGCCACCGCTTGAGGCCTCGCTGCGACCGTCCCTGCTGGGAGTCCGCCCGAACGCGTTGACGAGCTCCGGCGGGAGTTCCTGGTTCCATACGTTAGGTGCCTCCGCTGCTGCAACGGCCGCCGCAGCCGTCCTTCCTTGCGCTCGTCGAGCCAGCGCTGCGTCTCGTCCTTCTTGTCCACGCAACGCTGGAGCCACGCCTGCGCCCTGCGGCATGCCACCCCTTTGGCCGAGACGAATGCCTCGAGCAGGTGCCGCTGTGGCTGCGGTGCTGGGGTCTGCTGCGGCCCAAGGCCCCTTCCAGCGCAAGGGGCTGCGCCTGGCCTGCGCCGGAAGAGCCGGCACGAGCCCTGAGCTGCGCCAGGAGGTCGGAGGTGGCGATGCCTCCATCATGGGGCGGCGAGCCACGCTGGGGCGGAGTGGAAGACCTCGACTGCCCAACGCTCGCCAATGGATGCCCCCACTGCCAGGTGCCTGGCGGAGTGGGTCGCGAATGGGCCGCCAAGCCTCCTGCCACTCGTACCAAGGCACCTGGGCCAACTCCCTGACCCTCGCGCCACGGGACCCCCTGCGGAAGGAGCGTGGTCCCGCACTGGAAGTGGAAGGCTTTGGACTTCCACGTCCGCCTGTGACAACACGTCGGGCACGTGAGGCACTTGTTCTTGGCATTCTGCTTGCCCATGGGCTCAGCTAAGAGCTGGCGGGGGACACAAGAGCGGACGAGTACCGTATGCGAGTGCATGCTCCTGCCAGGAGCTCGCCGTGAGTAAACGCCCGAACGCGTGGTCCAAGGATCGTTTGTGCGGGCGGACCTCCCCCGAACCACTTCTGAAATCACTGAGCCCACTTGCTCTGGACTTGAACCACAATGGCCTCGGAGAGGAAAAGGAAGAGGCTGAGGAAGGAGGGGGATGAGGGCGAACAACAACAGCAGGAACTGGAGTGGAAGGAGCGGGATGGGCAGGAGGACCAGGGGAAGGCGGAGGAGGTGAAATGAGGGCGACAACGATGAAAATGGACTCGGATCCATCAAAGTGGCTCGCGTTGGGGCTAGAGCGCCATTCTGAACGGCGGGAGCAAAACGCCGATCCCAAAATGAAGCCCAAGCTGCAGTGGGAACACCATTTGAAACCACTGTTGCCCAATCCGTCGTAAACATTATCCTGGCGAAGGACCCAACCATATGCAAGTGTGAAAATACCGCAATTGTGGAGCTCCCTGTGGGGCCACGGAACGCGTGAGGGTGTGCCGACATGGGTGCGGTGGCACCATGCGAACCCTGCCGCTGGGGCCTTCGGTGGAGCTCCCTGTGGGGCCACGAAGAGAGTGAGGGGTCTGCCGGCATGGGTGCGGTGGCGCCATGCGAACCCTGCCGCTGGGGCCTTCGGTGGAGCTCCCTGTGCGGCCAAAACGTGTGAGAGGTGTGCCGAAATGGGTGCGGTGGCGCCATGCGAACCCTGCCACTGGGGCCTTCAGTGGACTCCCTACGGGGCCATGGAACGTGTGAGGGGCGCACCAAAATGGGGCGGGGCCGCCATGCGAACTTTGCCACTGGGGCCTTCGGTGGAGCTCCCCATGGGGACACGAAACGTGTGAGTGGTGCGCCGAAATGGGGAGGGGCAGCCATGCGAGCTTCGCCACTGGGTCCTTCGGTGCTCCTCATGGGGCCACGAAACGTGTCAGGGGTGCGCCGAAATGGGGCGGAGCCGCCATGCGAACTTCCCCAATGAGGCCGTCGGTGAGCTCCCATGGGGCCACGAAGCGTGTGAGGGGTGTGCCGAAATGGGGCGGTGGCGCCATGCGAAGCCTGCCACTGGGGCCTTCGGTGGACTCCCTACGGGGCCACGAAACGTGTGAGGGGTTCGCCTACATGAGGCGGGGCCGCCCTGCGAACTTCGCCACTGGGGCCTTCGGTGGAGCTCCCCATGGGGCCACGAAACGTGTGAGGGGTGCGCCGAAATGGGGCAGGGCCGCCATGCGAACTTTGCTACTGGGGCCTTCGTTGGAGTTCCCTATGGGGACCCGAGACGTGTGAGGGGTTCGCCTACATGAGGCGGGGCCGCCATGCGAACTTCCCCAATGAGGCCTTCTGTGGAGATCCCTATGGGGCAACGAGGCGTGTGAGGGGTGTGCCGAAACATGTACAAGCGGAGTGCAGAAGCAAGGGGGGGAGGAGGGCGAGGAGGAAGGAAGGAGGGACGCTGGGCGCTGTCTCTTCAAAACGAGGACCCAATACCACATGATGATTGGGAAATCTGCTGAGAGGGCCGGATATCTTCCTGAGGGCAAATAGGAGAGGAGCACTCCGACGACGAGGAGGATGAGGAAGAGGAGCAGGGATGAAAAGGATGGTCAGGAAGAAGAGGGTGGAGGAGAGGGAGGACGAGGACTAGGACGACGACAAGGGGGATGAGTCTGAGGAAGCCGGCGCGGAGAAGGACGGGACGGGACGGGACGGAGGAGCATCGAGAACAATTTGGAAGGGGGTGGTGAAAGGGCGTAGGATACAGAGGAGAAGAGGGTTCTTCCTCCTTCTCCCTATACCTCCTCCGCATCGCTAATATACATCACCGGGAACTGGCGCAAACGCGGGGAGTAGCTCGGAGTAGAAACGAATCACATTACTCCGATAAAGCACGCATCCCGCTCGATCAGTTATACGGTGTAGCGCGGAGCAGGCTTCGATCCTGGATCGAAATTACCCCGCCAAACGACGCAAACATCCTGTCATGCTAATTCAGAATATTCCGAAGAACGGGAGATATCGCCGCCATTGGGACTTGGAAAAACTTGTGTCACTGCTGTGTGGTGGTCACCATCCTTCCCAATCCCCTCTCCCGCTCCCCCGCACCCTGCCTCTTCCTCGTTCATCACCTCACACCTCTACTCCCCACCCTTCTTCTTGTCCCAACGTCTCGCTTCCTTTCCCCCTCCCTTCCCTGGAGTCGCCGAGGCACTGACAGCACCTGGGCGCGAAGCTCCGTCTGCTGCTTCTGCTGCATCTTCAACATTTCCTCACCGTGCAAGGCCTGCGTGTGAGGACAGAGATAGGAGAAGGGGGAGGGCGATTTGATGATATGATATGGCTGGACGACCTGATATGCAGGGAAGGAGGGGGAGGAGGAGGGCATAAAGACGGGGGGAGGAGTAGATGCAAGAGGGCGGAGGGTCGAGACTGAAGGCTGGAGAAGAGATGTGGAGGGCAGGAGGGAGGGTGCAGGGGAGAGGGGGGGCGATGGAGGGTGTGGTGTGGAGGCTGGAGGCTGGAGGCTGGAAGCAGGAGGGAGAACCGGAGGCTGGAGGCTGCGAGGGCAGGGGGATGAATAAGCACTGGTGTTGTTCATGCAAGGGGGGATTGGGGGGGAGGAGGAGGAGGAGGAGGAGGAGGAGGAGGAGGAGGAGGAGGAGGAGGAGGAGGTGGAGAAGGAGGAGGAGGAAGAGGAGGGAAGGGCGAGGAGGAGAGGGAGGAGCGTGGAGTGACGAGAAAGGGGTGGATAGGGGTAGAAGGGAACAACAGAGGCGATGATCAAGAAGAAGAGTATACCAATAATAATAAGACAACTGAGACTAATACTAAGAATAAACATGCGAATACTCATACTGTCATTACTAATAATGTTACGTATCATAACAGTGTAAATATAACATCAAGAAGTAGCCTAAACGTGATAAGAAACGAATGCGAATCCTAATAACAGTAAGCAGTGATTGGGAAGAGGGGAACTGGGAGAGAGAGGAAAAAAGAGGAGGATGAGGAGGAGGATGATGACGCTGATGATGATGATGATGATGATGATGATGATGATGATGATGAGGAGGAGGAGGAGGAGGAGGAGGAGGAGGAGGAGCAGGCGGAGGAGCAGAAGGAGAAGAAGAAGACGACGAATAATAATGATAAGCCAAATAATCATACGAGCAATACCAATAGCAATAACACTACTCATCACCAGAAGAAAAACGAAGTACGAGTCAATGCTCGACCGTTCTACGCGCATCCTCCTCCACCAGCCAGCCTCCATCCCTACAACCCTCCACCCTCCACCTTCTCCCCCTCCTCCCCTCCATCCTCCTCCTCCTCCTTTCGCTCCACGGCGCGCGCAGCCGAAGGGGCTGCCAAAGGGTTTTCGAGGGTCGCCGAAAACCCGCCGAGGAGGGCACGAGGGACTTGAAGCGGACACTGCCGCACGCGGGCCTACAGTTGACCCATACGTAGGGCTGCGCCCAGTGGGCCATCCCTACGGGCGGACCTCCTGGAAGGCTCCTGATGATTCATCGGGCAGGCAGCCTGGCGACGGGTTGCGGGAGGAGGTCCTCCCGAGGAGTAGGAGCACCTCCTTCTTTAGCCAAGCACTCATGGGGAACGCACGTCTCTCAACAGACCGTGAAAAAGTGCCTCGTGAGCGCCGCATGGCGAATGGAACGTTGAAAGGCATACATGGTCCAGGGCTTGGGCCCCCCCCCCCCTCCTCCCCAATGCTGATGCCATTGGGCCCCACCCCCCCCCCGCGCGATCATCGTCGTCATCGTCGTCGTCGCCGACGCCGCCGCCGGCGTCGTCGCCGCCGCAGCCGTCGTCGTCGTCGTGGTCGTCGTCGTCGTCGTCGCCGTCGTCGTAGTCGTCGCCGTCGTCGTCGTCGTCGTCGTCGTTGTCGTCGTCGTCGTCGTCGTCGTCGTCGTCGTCGTCGTCGTCGTCGTCGTCGTCGTCGTCGTCGTCGTCGTCGTCGTCGTCTCCGGGACCATACCATCTGGGGGGGAGGGGGGGGGCCGGAGGAATCCTGGGACCATACCATCTGGGGGGAGGGGGGGGGGCCCGTGGGCCCGGAGCCCGGGATCATACAAAACTGCCATGCTGATGTGGGGCATGCTACCAGTTGAGCCCAGAGCATACGGAAAATCGAATAGGCGAGGGTCACCAGATTCAAAGACGGATCAGTATCTTGATATTCAGGTAGGGGGTTAGTTGGAATGGACAGATGCGGCAGAGCAATTTGGTGGAGGAGAGGGCAGGAGACATAGTGGAGGAACGAGTCGGGAGAGTCAGGGAATGCAAATCTGCATGTAGGTACTCCTGGGGAGGAGGAGGAGGAGGACGAGGAGGAGGACGAGGAGGAGGAGAGAGGGGGGGGAAGAGGGGAGGAGAAACGAAGAGCAGGTGAGGTGAGGTGAGAGCGGCCGCGAAGCGATCCAGCTTTGATCATGAAACCCAGGACCGCCAGCTCCTCCAGACTTTGTGCGCCCCTAGCCCCTAGTCCCTCCTCCACCCTCCACCTTCCGCCGTCTTCTTACTCATCCTCCACCCTTCAGCCTGCTGCTCCTCCTCCTCCTCCTCCTCCTCCTCCTCTTTCTCCTCCTTGCTGCTCCTCCAGACTTCTGCTGTACGCTCACCCATTGTTCGTCCTATCTCCTCCCTCCCTCCGCACCTCCACGCCGCACCTGCAGACGTGTCAGCAAGGCGGACCGGGTGTTCCTCCTGAGACATCCTCGCCACCAATGGTCCTGAAGCTTGACCGATTCAATCGCCTTAGCGCCGCGCAATGTCGTCTCAAACTATTGAAGCAGCTTCATGGCTGGAGGACGGGCGGATTACAGAATGCTGCTCTCGCGTCGCCGCCGCGTGCATTCGTTTTTAGATATGTACAAGAACTACACGGATGGAGGGCGGGTTGTTTTACGCATGTGACTCTCGCCCTTGTAAGGTTTTCTTGACTCTACTACTGTTCCAACAAAAGCGTCACTTCACTTGGGCCAGATTGGCGCCAGGGGCGCCCGCACCTGTTCCCCGCGGTCGAACAGAAACACCACTACATCAGTATGTTGGGGATTCGGCTGCGCCTTAGCGCCGCGTGCACTCGTCTAAAAAATAGGTGCAGCAATTTCACGGATGAAAGGCGCGTTGCTTTAAACATGTGGCTCTAGCCTTAGCGCCGCGCACACCGTCATACAAATCAGCAAAAACTTCACGGAAGGAGGGCGAATGATGTTCAACAGTTCCTCTCGCCTTAGCGCCGCGCACATTCGTCTCAAAGGTGAGCAACGGCTTCAAAGATGGAGGACGGTGTCTTGTCAACATGTGGCTCTCGCCTTAGCGCCGCGCGCATCCGTCCTCGAAGCCTGTAATAGTTTAAAATATTCGTATGGTCGAAGTCCAAGGAGTGATGCTCTGGCACGTTTAATTTTTTCGAGCAACAGTCACGTTGATTCGCGGTGTTGCACTCCGAAGGTTTTTCTGACACGGTGTAGGATTGTCAGGATGCAACAGTCGTGTTGATCCGCGGCGCTGAAATCCCTGGAACAGATTCTGGCACGACAGACGATTTTCAAACGGTTGTTTCATGATGGGCCATTTCCCGCAATGCAAATGAATTCTTTTAATGACCTACGAAGAAGGAACTCGATGTGTGATGCGTCTTGGGTTACAACATCGTTGATGCGTACTTATTGGGCCTACACTGGCCCTCATCATCTTCCTCCTCCTAGTCCTCGTCGCCTGCTCATCCAAGCTCTAGTTGTACCCACTTCTATCCCTCTTCCGTGCTCCCTCATCCCTCCACAACCCCACACTCCTCCACACCCATACCTCCTTCCCTCTCCGCCTTGATCCTTCCTCCCTCCACAGCCCCGCCTTCTTCCCTCTTCCACACCCCTACCTCCTTCCTCCCTCCACAACCCCATCTTCCCTCTCCGCCTTCTTCCTACCACAACCCCACACTCCTCCAGCCTCCTCTTCCTCCTCCGCCCTCCTGGGGCAGAAGAAATATACCCATACCGCTGCTCTCGGGACCTCCCCCACGGTGCAGCATTCTGATAAATCTCGGGGCGAAACCAGCCGTGGTAAAGTGGTCACTCCAGGACGAGCAGCGGCATCGGTATCTTCTCCTCCTCGGACCCTCCCTCCTCCCTACAGCTCCAGCTCCAGCTCCAGCTCCTCCTCCACACCCTCCGGTTCCAGCTCGAGCTCTTCCTCCTCCGGCTCCAGCGCCAGCTCCGGCTCCTCCTCCTCGCCTGCTCCTCCAGGCTCTTGTTGTACGCCAGCTTCTGCATCTCTATCGCCGACGGGTCGGGCATGCCTGCCGCCCCGAGGCGCCCGCGCGCGCTCGCGCGGAGAGCGTCCTGCTCTCGGGACCCGCCGGCCGCAGGTGCGGCCCTGGTCCGCCTCCCCCCTGCAATGGCGGCGGCCAGGGCAGGTGAGGGGGGGCGAGAGGGGGGGAGCGGGGGGAGGGAGGGAGGGGGGCGAGAGGGGGGAGGGAGGGGGGGGGGAGGGAGGGGAGGCGAGAGGGGAGGGAGGGAGGGAGGGAGGGGGGGCCTCGCCTGCCCCCTGCAATGGCGGCGGCCAGGGCAGGTGAGGGGGAGGGGGGGCGAGAGGGGGGAGGGGGGGAGGGAGCGAGCAGGCGCCGTTCCGACAGGCCATGCCGAGCCGTCGTGGCTACAGGTGGCACCTTTTCACACGCACGTGTCGCCCGATCGTGCTGGCAGACTTCTCCTTGATGCATCTCTGGCTCCAGACGCTCCCCTGAAGCAGTGCAAACGAACGAGGGGGGGGGGGGAAACTAGGTGCGCTCGCGCCTCAGCTGACATCCTATCCCTCCCTCCCATCCCTTCTCACGGCGCTGAGATCCCTCTCTCCGCGGACGCGTGTCATAGCCGACCTGCATCCCTCTCTCCGCGGACGCGTGTCATAGCCGACCTGCGACTTGCACAGGAACGTCACTTCGTGGCATGCGCCATCGGAACAAGGGGAGCTGCGTGCACAGGAGGAAGAGGATGATAAAGAGGAGGAGGAGGAGGAGGAGGAGGAGGAGGAGGAGGAGGAGGAGGAGGAATAGGAATAGGAGGAGGAGGAGGAGGAGGAGGAGGAGGAGGAGGAGGAGGAGGAGGAGGAGGAGGAGGAGGAAGAGGCGGCGGGTGAGCAGGAGGATGAGGACGAACAGCAGCAGCAGCAACAACAGCAGCAGCAGCAGCAGACACCACAGCGCCTGTATCGAAAGGGAAAGGATGACCAGGTGCAGGCGGAGGGGAAATGAGGGGGCGACAACGATGAATAAAGACTCGGACTCAGAAAAGTGGTCCGCGCTGAGGCGTGAGGAACATTAGCAGCAACGAGAACTGGAGTGGAAGGAACGGAAAGAGCAGGAGGATCAGGGAGAGGCGGAGGAGGTGAAATGATGGGGGGACCACAGTGAAGCAATACTCGGATCCAGAAAAGTAGCCCGCTCTGGGGCGAGAGCGCCATTCTGAACGACGGCAGCAACGCGCCGATCCGAACATGGGGCCCACGCTGTGGCGGGAACGCCGTTTTGAAACACCGAATCAAGTTGATTGCAAAACGCTATAAGAGCAAACAGATTTGCAATCAAGTGTAAAACAACAGCAAACCGGGGGGGGGGGGGGGGAGATCATCATCACAGATTCAGGGGAGGAGGGAGAGTAGTATTCATATCACTTAGTTGTGATCGGGGGAGTGAAATGGAGGGGGGAGGGGGGGGCAGCGATGAGGAGAGGGGCGATGAGGAGGGCGAGGAGGGTCGGGGGCTGAGTGGCAGGATGAGGGGGGAGGAGGAGGAGGAAGGGAAGAGGGGGATGGGGGGGAGGAGGAGGAGGCGGAGGAGGAGGAGGAGGAGGAGGAGAAGAAGGCTGAGGAGCAGGAAAGGGGAAGGATGAAGGATGCAGCAGTGGACGACGAGGGTAAGGATGAGGAGGAGGCGGAGGAGGAGGAGGAGGAGGAGGAGGAGGAGGAGGAGGAGGAGGAGGAGAGGAGGGAGAGGAGAAGGAGAAGGATATGAGGATGAGGATGAGGATGAGGAGGAGGAGGAGGAGGAGGAGGAGGAGGAGGAGGAGGAGGAGGAGGAGGAGGAGGAGGAGGAGGAGGAGGAGGGGGAGGAAAGAGGAGGAGGAAAAGGAGGAGGAAGAGGAGGAGGAGGAAATTCCCGCGAGATTCCCCTCTGCCGCAGGCAATGTCTCCCTTTCCGTCGCGGCTCCCCGCCGCGCGGCGCGCGCCGCGCACGGGGCCGACCGCTCTGGGGGGCCGCGCCCCTGAGGGCCGCCCCCTTCTCCACGCGCGTCTTGCGGAGGCGCGTGGAGCAAGGGGGCCGAGCGCGTCCTCTGTGGTGTCCGCGCTCCACCCCCGAGATCCTCAGCACCCCGCGAGGCGCCCTTGGGGTGGCCGCCCCGAGCACCCCTCGCGGCGTGCCTTCCAATGAGGGTGGCAGTACTTGGCCCCTCCAGTCCAGCGCAGCCGTGGGCGTCGCGGTGGTGCTGGGCGGCGTGGTGCTGCTGGTCCTCGTTGTCGTGCTGGTCTCGGTGGTGCTCGGTGGCGTGGTGCTGCTGGGCGTGTTACTGCTGGTCGCCGTCGTGCTGTTCTTCGATCGGTCGGCTGGCAGCGTAGAGAAGCCTGCGGACCCATTGCATGCGGCGTTCCTCGCCGATGCTCGTTACAGTCGCTGCGGCGGTCGAGGGTCGTTGAGGTTGTTGCACACAGGCTTGCTGCTCGTCGCATTGGAGTGGTGGCTGCTCGTTCTGCTTGTCCTGGTGGTGGTCGGGCTGCTGTGAAGCGGCCGGGGGGCGCGGGCGAGGGCGTTCAAATGCATCTCCTCGCTGGCGTCCCCTGACCGCCCCTTCTGGTGGACGCGGAGAGTACTCGTCCTCCCCCTTCCACACCGTTGCAGTAAACGGCTTGCGTCCTTGGTGGTGGAGTCTGTGGGGGTTCGGTTGTCTGCGTCACTGGTGGTTCGTGGTTGCCGCCGCTGCGCGTTGTGCTGGTTTGGTCGCTGTCGGGTGCTGGATCGTGTCGTTCTTGGCTGGTGGCGGTGCTGGTGTCGTCGTGCCCGTCCTGGTCGTTGTCGGCGAGCTTTGTCCATTTCAGGAGCTTGTAGTGTAAACTGCGGTATCCAGTGCGGCGTGTGCATTCCGTGCGCATCTCCTCCGAAACGTACTCGGTGGTGGAGGCACCGCAGTGGCGGCATACCCAGCGGGATTCTGCTCGGATGAACATCAGCTCGTGGCTGTCGTGCGCAGTGCGTCCGTGCTGGATGATGGCTCGTCCTTGTCGCGGCGGTGGTCCTGTGCGTTGTTGCTGGAGCCAATCTCGTACTGCTGCGAAGCTGGTGTCTCGTCCGGCGCGCTGAGTGCAGCAAGTGCACACCCAACCCTTTCCCCGTCGAGGCCTGGCCAGGTTGTGGGTGGTAGGTGGGCGCCTGCCAACTGGGTGTGGTGGTCCGTCGGCGAAGTTGCGGTGCTCTTGCTGCTGAGCTCGTCGTGCGGCGCGTACTTCGTGTGCTTCTGATGGGCGTCGGTCGGTGGCGTCGATAGTGGCGGCGGTAATGCGCTTGCGGATGAGGGCGGCGGTGGCGTTGACCCACTAGTAGCATCCGAGCTGGCCCGCGCCCAGTTGGTGCTCTGCGGCGGCTTGCTCCGCAAGGCGATCCACTTGTGTGTTTCCAAACCATGCATGTAGGGGGGATCCTCGGCCTTGCGCTTCCTCCCAGGTCAGGTGGCTGTTGATGTGGTGGACTTCGATGTGAGCTGGTCCTTGCTCGCCGCGGTGCTCAAGCTCCTTGCCGATGGTCTCCCAGAGGTCGTCGTTGCTGCCCGTGTGGGGCTGTAGTTGGTGCCGTCGGTCTCGCCAGCCCTTGCATGCGATTTCGCTGTCCGTCCAGAAGTGCATGGCGCCAGTGGTGTGCTTGATCGCATCCAGTAGTGCCCAGAGTTCTGCGCGATTGTTCGTTTGTCGTCGGGCGGGTAATGGACCGCATCGTGCTGCAATAACGTTGACGCCGCCGTCGTGCGTGCTGCCAAGTCTTAGCCACGCCCATCCGCATCTTCGGCAACGCCAGTCGGAGGAGTGCTCCCCGCCTGAGCCGTCGCCGTAGATTACCAAAGGCGTCCCGTCGTTGGTGCCGATCTTGTCGGCTTGGGTCAGCTCGCCCATGCTGGATGCTGACTCGGCTGTGTCGCAGTCTGGTGGTACTGACCAATCTCGTGGGGTGATGCCTCTGAGCGAGGAGGCTGGGGTGGTTTGGTGTCCCGCGGCAGCGCGGGCTTGCAGCCTGTCAGTTTTGTCGTGGATGTCGTTATCACCTCGGCAGCTGCAACGTTCCCAGATGCGGTGGTAGTCGGTGTCTGGCTGCCCGCATTCGCATAGGTGGTTGCCATGGCCGAGTGTCGTCTGCTGCCTAGTGCGAGTCCACGTTCCCGCACAGGCAGCAGTGAGGAGGGCGCCGTATTCGCGGTGCTTCTCGTGTGTTCGGAGCCATTGCAGGTGTCGCTTGAGCTCTGTGGTGTCGGCGCCGTTGTGCTCGAGGCCTCCGCCGTGGTAGTGGGTCGCTGCGGTCTTCCAGAGCTGCTGCCTTGCGTCGTGCATGATGACGTCAAGGATGTCTTTGGTGTCTTGGGCGTCTTCGTGGGGGAACTTCCAGGTCGTTGCCTGCGCTGTCGATCCAGTGGTCTGGTCCGCGGGAGTCCCAGCCGAGCTCCCACAGCGCCAGGATGCTAGCTGCGATGGGGCCGCGTCTCTGGTTCCAGCGGCGGTGAGCAAGTACCTTGAGCAGTCGGAAGTAGATTCTGGGCCAGGCGCGTCTGATTTGCGCACGTAGGTCTGGGCTGTGCGTCCAGCATCCAAACCAATTGGAGAACTGCGTGCTCGCGACGGTGTAGGCGGGGTCGGTCCCTTCCAGGTCTAGGAATGTGGCGAGGCAGCGCCCAGGCCAAAAGCGATGAAAAGCTTGGGCACATTGGCGTCGTGCTGCACGTAGTGCGGTGGGGGCCAGGCCGTGGAAGGCGACGCCGTACTTCGCGGAGGCCATCGCGCCCTGGTTCACCAGGCTGGCCTTGGTGGAGGTGTGGGGTAGTCGTAGTTTACCACGGACTGCGCGTAGGCGTCGGCGTGCTGCTGCCCATCTTGTCGCGTGCGTGGAGCGTCTAGTAGTTCCGCGTGTTGCACGATCTGCGCCCGGGTCTCGCCCTTCTGTGGCTGCTTGAACGTCGATGTGGAGGTCGCGGAGCTGCTGCTAGATCTTCTTGGTGTCTTTGTAGCGCGTGGTCCTGAGGGTAGTTTTGTCGGCCAGTCGGAGTC